TCTAAATAGTATCAGTAATTTTATACAGGATGGTATCGAGTCACTTATTTCAATTAGAGGCCGTAGTATATTTCGATCAGCGGTCTATTATTAGACAAACATGACACTTGTCTTTGTTTTTGACGTTAATGTCTAATATCCACATTACTTACTTACGCCTGTTATCCCCGATGAAGCATAGGCCGCCACACTAGCATTCTCGGACCTACTCTCTGTCTTGGGTCTTCCATTCTAGCTCTGTCCAATTTTTGTTCATTCTTCTCATGTCTATCTCGGCATAATGTATTTTTTTGTCTTCCTGTTTTCCTCTGTAAAACTCCAAAGCATGTGAAGAACGGACTTGAGAAAATCAGACTGGTTTTCGACCTGTACGTGGCTGTGTAGACCAGATGTTCACACTACATCAGGTCCTAGAACAAAGACACACGTCCAGACGTTCCACAATAGTAGTATTTCTCGACCTTAAGGCGGCATTTAATTCAGTGGATCGTGAGGTCCTGTGGCATTGTCTGTCATTGAAAGGTGTACCAAATAATTACACTAACCCTATACAAGCTCTTTACTTGAACAATACTGGTCGAGTGAGAGCTTATGGCGTACAGTCATTGGAATTCTTTACTTCAAGTGGTGTCCGACAGAGCTGTCCACTATCCCCATTCTTGTTTAACTTTATCGTAAATATGCTTTTAGAGTTAAAATTATCATCATCTGACTCTTCAGGAGTTGACCTTCTACCAGGAGACACTCTTACTGACCTACAGTATGCTGCTGACCTAGTCCTAGTCGGTGAAGACGCTGACAAAATGCAATCTTCCGACTACCCTAAATAACAATGCAACCATGTTAGGGAAACGCTCCGTCCTTGATTATGGCTGCTAAACATGGCCAGTCAGAGTAGAAGATATTAGTAGGTTGCTTGTTTTCGAACATATGTGTCCCGAAGCATTGCTCGTGTATCCTGGGACAGCCGAGTAAGCAATGCTGTTGTTGGAAAACGGGTGCTAGGTAATGATGGCAGACGATTGATGAAGTAGTAAGTGTTGTTCATCAGTTGAGGTGGTTGGGACATGTTTTGCGTATGCCCAACCATCGACTGCCGCGACGAGCTATGTTTTGTGGTGTAGGAGTAGGTTGGAAGAAAGTTAGGGGCGGCCAAACCAAAACATGGCATAAACCCATGAAATCACTGAGAAGTGATCTGAGTCATGTCTGTAGATGTAGACTACCTGGTTGGGGTCCGCGAGACGAAAGTCCCCAATGGTTAGAGACCTTGAACGACATGGCTCAAAATCGTTTGCAATGGAGCAAGTGCATCCATTCTTTGAGCTCTCTCAAATCCTAATCTTCTGGAATCGTCAGCACTTCTACCTTTGTCTTTCTAACCTTATCTCACTGAATTATACTTCTTGAATAATATCTTTGAACTGTAATCTTCTTCATTACTGCTAATACTTATACTATCTTAACCACTATGGGATTTGAATTGATAATTGCTTCTCTGTGTGCTAATCTAGTATGGCAACTAGAGCTGATGTAGGTACGTATGAAGTTCTACGTTGTAACTAACTGAGTGACTGACTTTTTTTCCTTTGACCTTAAGGGTTCCATGTGAGAGCTTGTTTTGTGACACAGGTGGGTGCTTTACTCGACGCTTGTCCTTTCCATTTCCAGCTCTACTTCCTTATTACTTCCTCAGTTGAAATCTGATTTGTTCAATATACTCATCGAATTGTTGATTTTTGTTATCGATCAGTTAATTCTTTCATTTTTTTTCACCCTCCTCTCCATCTTCTGTCAAATTAGATCAATCAAGATAAAAGGCGATTATATTCATTACATGAAAACAATAATATGCTCATAACAGATTTCAAAGATTCCTTATCACCATTTCCTGAACGTACAATGGAATTGTGTAATCGACGGTATTTGGCAACATGTTTATGTTTAAATTCAAAAATTCAAGTTAATTTAGAAACTTCAGAGAATTCATCATCATCACCAGCAACATCAGTAACATCTCATTTGGAGAATGTAAGTTTGTTTCTGTTTTCTTTTTCCGTTTCTGTCTAATCTGTTCATTCATGACCTTTGTTCTCACTCTGAGACGCTTAAGCTCATGACCATTGAATCAACAACATCCAACGTCGTGTTAATGTCTAACTCCAATCTGTCCACGGAATCATACGACTATTCATTGCTTTTGATCGGTAACAACTGCCTTACAGTCGACACGGTTGAAGTCACCGGTTTCCACAATCATATGTTCACTAGTAACTATCTTCATGTCGACATTTCCAGAGTTCTGTTGAAAGGCCGTGACCAGTGTAGTTCAAATGCGTCGAGTGTAAGACAGTTACTGATTGAAGTTAGATATTAGCGCCGTTGGATGCCAGCTTGGTGGTGATGCGTCCGCTCACACGAGTCTGAATATCGTTGTTTGCATTTCCTTGTCTGGGGGTCGTAGACTCTGTTGCGCATGAACGTCAATACGTCATTTGATACGCTTGAACTATTACGAGTTTACCTTAATCGGAAAACAAAAGCGAGGATCGAGGATCCGGCGACACGAAAGGCTACTCTAATCCGAGCGTCCTAACCCCCCCACCCTTGAGTGATAAATAGAAGAAGACTTAACATAAAGTAGAACGTGTATTGTAAAAGCATCCAGACAGTACGAGGTTCGAGTCCGGATGAAGCTAAAGATCCGGGTCATAAAACGTTCCAGATAATGCGTTTTTATACAGTTAGATCGAATAGGAAACAACATTAAAATCTATAACAGTGACAGTTAGAACGATCAGTAGGAAACAACCTTTGAAGTGAAACTGATAGTTAGGACGACCAATAGGAATTGGCCTATAGAATTAGACTCGCAAAAATGATTCTCTTAGGATATTGGATGAATATCCTAACAGATTCTTATTTCCAGTACAGCCAAGTTTCTTTCAACACTGATCCAACATTAATCAGTTCAAAATTTCAATGTTTTTCCAAAAAACAAGGGAAGTGAGAGAGATAGAGTTGTACTGTGATAGATACTACTTATGATATGTCTTCTTAGTAGTATTTTGCAACTGAGTCTCACTCCAAAGTTACTACCGGAATGGAAGAGTTTCAGAGAATCAGAATGTAATGACACTATCAAAGTACTTTGAAGTTCAGAGGATCTATGAATAAAGACAGCCAATAATCTACTTGTTTTACAAATGGGAAGATGCTGTAGTGTACGCATTTTGTTAGTGGAACAGTGTCTTCACTAAATACACTACTAATGATTCATCTGACAGCGTGGATTGACAAAGCAAGGACAGCGTTTCTGAAGTTGAAGAAAATCTGGAACTCAAAATACCCATCAACCAACAACGAAGTCAGAATTTTCAATACAAATATCAAGACAGTTCTTGTTTATGGGGCGGAAACTTGGAGAACTACGAAACCCTATTATCCAGAGGATACAAGTGTTTATTAACAGTTGTCTACACAAAATTGTTATGCTCGTCGCTAGGTATGCTTAAACTATGACGAGTTCACCTTAGTCGAATAATGTGAACAAAACAATGAACTAGCGTCTAGGTAGACTACTGTGATCCGTTGACCCTATTTACCAGCAAGAAGTCTTGAAATAATGTAGAAAGTGTATTCTACAAACACCCAGCCAGCTTAACATGAATCCAAGCACTCAAATTGCATTTATCTATACACCATAGAGACGTCCTTGGGAGAGTCACAAAAATAGCACACTAAAATGATACAGTGACCAGTCACAGATAAGGATTTTTCGTGGTGGGCAATGTGATCTCAAGGTCAGCCGATTGGTCCATGAAATAAAACAAAAAACAAAGATATTTATCAAGCGAGTTCTGGGGATCTAACATCCTCAACAAAAATACTTCGCATCCGTTGGCTAGACACCATCACCAACAACCTACTGTTTGACAGAACATACCAGATTCCAGCAGATGAAGAAACTCTGGAAGTAGATAGAACACACATTGAAGAAAGCATCCAACTTCGTCACAAGTCAAGTCCTCAGTTGGAAATACTCATAACCAAAGGAAACATTACGCCAAGGAGTGGAGAGAACAGACCAGATTCCAGTGGAGAAAGAAAATAGGAAATGGCATAGGAGGTGGATAGTGCACACATGGCGGAAATCACCCAACTGAGTTACAGTAAAAGCCCTCACTTGGAATCCTCAAGACCAAAGAACATGTTACGCTGAGAAATGCGGACAGACATGGAAAGAATGAACAGCGATCGGACAGAACTAGAAAGGAAGGTCTAGGATAGAGAGTAGGTTGGAGAATGTTGGCCGGTGGTCTATGCTTCATAGGGGGTAACAGACGTAAGTAAGTAATCCATCTGATCTTGACATCTTCACTCATTACAAAATACCATCTGCTTTTTTTTCTCTTCCGATTGATACTTTTAGCCAGAACCATATTTTGTTACTATATTCCTTGTGGATATCAATGATGGACGTCGTGTTAGTGAAGATTTCTATTGGAATCCGAATTCGTCAACCATTGATTCTATGTTATCAATTGATCAGTTTAAACATTTACCATGGTTCTCATCCAACAATACTGTCGTCAATAATAATAATAATCAAAACTCTGAACTAATCAATAATACTAATGATCAGTCAGTATCTCATCAACATCAACCTATTGCCTCGTCTAATCGTGGCGTAACACGTAGACCAGCTCCACCACCACCGCTGCCAACATCAACAGCATCAGCAGTCACCAGTAATCTTGTTTCTCCATATGGAACACAAAATTCAATTACATTAGATTGTTTGACAAAGTGTCGATCGGTAAGTCATTATTTCTAGCCTAATTGGTTAGTGTGCTGTTACGGGTATGAGGGCAGTTGTCACTTCCCGGCTACCCACACCGTGGAAGGTTTCTTCTTGAGGGACCTGAAAAGTAAGATGGATTAGTGATGGTGCGTGACCGCAGAGTCTAAGGGACAACTGCTTGAGGCCGGTCACGCACGGCCTTTTTGATGAAAGGTTTTTGAGGAAAAGCTCCGTTCTTAAAGGCCCTTTGTGGGCACCCTGGCCAACAAATTCTTAGTATTTTATGTAGATAACTGCTAATAAACACTTGTATCTGCTGCTTGATAGCTTTCGTAGTTCTTCTAGCGTCCACCTCATACAGTAGAACTGTCTTGTGCCGTGGATTTTTCCTGCTCTTATTCGGCTGATGTCGATAACGAGATGAACGATTAGAATTGTTCTGTGCGTGTGTGTGTATGTGTGATATCTGAATTATCCGAATACAACTATGATTGTTGTAATGAGAAAATTTCAACAACACAAAATATGTAAATAATGATTCACTCATTAAAATTATTCAAATATATCATTTGGGTATGAAGCGCGGACTAAATATTACAAATGCGCTCCGCAACTCAAGGAATTTGTGTGTGTGTGTGTGTGTGTACGAGCTTACTCAGTACCTGCCTGGGTGCCTAAATTGATGCGCTTGAAACTATTACTAGTTCACCTTACTCAGTAAATGAGAGCGAAGTTCAACGATACAGTGACACGGTAGGCTATTCTAATCCGTTGTCTCCGCCCGGCGAACTATACATGAAGTAGTTTTGATATGACGTAGAGAACGTATTCCACAAGCACCCGGAAAATAGGAGTCCAGAAGAGAATTAGGATCCCGGACCAAGGATACGGGTCCGGGTCATAAAATGTTACAGATAATGCGTATTTATACAGTTAGTTCGAATAGGAAACATCATCAAAGTCCTTCACATTGACAGTTAAGATGACCAATAGAAAACAACATTGATAGATAGGATGATCATAATGTTGACCAATAGAAATCGATCGACAGAATTTACACTTGCAAAATTATTCTTCCTAGGTTATTTGGTGAATGTCCTAACACTATTTTAGTCCGCTGTCTCCGGCCCGGCTAACTATACATGAAGATGTTTAGATATGGCGTAGAAAGTATATTCTACAATCACCCAGAAAATACCAGGTCAAATGTCCTTGGGAAAGCCACAAAAATAGCATACTAAGATAACACATCAGCCAATGACAGTCAAGGATTTTCCGAGTGGGAAATGTAATCTCTAGGTCAACTGAGCAACTTGTGCGCAAAAACATAAAAAATTCAAAATTAGGACCTTTTCCAAGTGAGTTCTGCGGATCTAACTTCCCCTTACACAAATCAAAGCAGATAGTTTTCTCAGGAAGTCACTCCTCGAGCTTATGACACGCAAGTCTAATCCACAGAACAGTGGATCAACTTCAACAGTTTCAGTCTCATGGTAACCCGGTGATTGATACTAGGTTCATATGCCATTGCCAACTTGCTTATGTGGATCCTCTTTACTCATCAATCAGGTTAAATCACTTGCCTGGACACTACAGTTTCCTCCTTGGTTAGTGACCATGTTTGTGACACACATACTATTCAACACTGCATCCTTCTTCTAATCTCAAATGAATCTGATTTTCACTTTTCCATTCTTCTTATTCAGGCATTATTCTCAATCCCATCTACTTATCCTGTGAACAGCATTAATAATAATAATTTGTATATCGTTGTACGTGTGGATAAAGTGTTTAGTGGATCAATCAATACTATCATGGAGAAGTACTTGAAAAATACTGGCAATATTACTACTAATACTACTAGTACTACTACTAATAATAATAATATGAGCGATAATCTGAAACTTGGTTCCACTATACACAAATCAATGATTAATTATTGTCGTAATATTGGTCGTTATCGTATGCCATTTGCATGGGGTACAAGGTTAGTGTGTGCGTTAGTGTGTGTGTGTGTGCGTGGATATATACTTTACTCTTTGTATTTTAATATATAACAATTATAAACGGCTTTTACCGACTTGCGTCAGTTAACGCGTAGAAAAGATATCCTCCGCCTGCTAGCCAAAGGACGAGTCTACTACGAAGCAGTTCGCTTTCTCCTACTACATGGATGTGAAACGTGACCAGTAAGAGTAGAAGATATTCGTAGGTTACTGGTTTCCGATCATATTGGTTTACGAAGCATTGCTCGTATATCCTGGGACTATCGAGTAAGCAATGCTGTTGTTAGGAAACGGATACTAGGTAAGTCTGGTAGATCATTTGATGAAATAGTAAGTGTTCATCAGCTGAGGTGGTTGGGACATGTTTTGCGTATGCCCAACCATCGACTTCCTCTACCAGTTATGTTTTGTAGTTTAGGAGTAGGCTGTAGGAAAGCGGGGGGCGGCCAGACCAAAACATGGTACAAATCCATGAAGTCACTGACAAGTGGACTGAGCCATGTTGGTATATGTAGGCTACCTAGTTGGGGTCCACGAGACAAAAGTATCGTTTTCAATGGCAGAGGTGCATCCATGCTTTGTATTCCCTCAAATTCTAACCTACTGAATTCATCATCGTCTTTATCTTTGCCTTTAAAATTTATTTCACTTTCTGAATAATTCCTTCGAATCCTAATCTATTACATTACGGCTAGTATATCTACTACTATGGGATTAGAATTGCATCTGTGTAGATGAGGTATGGCAACATGAACTGAAGTTCTTCGTTGTAACTAACTGAACTAAGACGCCCCCACATGGCCACACTTACATTACCACTATCAGGAAAGACCTACTCACCATTGTCTTGTGGCACAACTGTTTGCAAACAAATTTGAGAGAATAAGAAAACGAATAATGTTCAACGATGGCTTAAACCGGGTTGATAGATATTGAGGATTCATCTAGAGCATTTGGAAATCTCTCATTCCAAACCGAAGTCAGTTTATATGGGCTTCAGTATTCTAAAAGACCAAATGTCGTATAAATCAGCTTTCTTGTGACTGCCTCTCCTTATGTTGCCCTTCTGTCTTGTGTATCATACTAGTAGTGTAGTGAAGGAGAACACAGGTGAGGGCAACCGAATGTGTATTTATCGCAAATTACAGAGTTACTCAGTAAAATAGGAAAACCCTATCATAAACGGTTAATTTGCAAATCTTCAATCCATCATCAATCAATTGTCTGACATTTCACTTATTCATGCGTTTGTTTCATACAAATTCCATTGTGTTCCCACTCTTCTTCCTTTCTTGATCTTCCCCCATCTTCTGCTGCCAGACATTACGTTGACACTCACGTCATATACTACTACTCTTATAAGTAGCGCTCACCACAGTAGGTCATAGACTCGAGAAATGGCATCTTAAGCAAACCAACCTGCTTCGGTTGCAGCACCTAAACAACATTCCAGCCTACTGAATAATCAATAATTTGTGTAATGCGTAAAATATTAAGGTGCCTGTTTGTACCAGTTTTTTTTGTTAATGTGTTTTTTTATTGACGATTTTGTTTTAATTTTCACAGACCTCTAAATAGTTCGAATCGTTTCATACATTTATTCAAAATGGACGCTAACAAAATACCAGAACAAGGATTAATTCAATCTGTGCAAATGTGTTCACGTTTATTTATTGATTATACTAATAATAGTAATAATAGTAGTGTAGCAAGCATGGTTAACTGTACTACTACTGATAATGATATAAGTAGTACTGTCAATGAAAGTATTCTTCTTCCTTTTCCGGAATCAATAAATCGTTTATTTAATAAATTGGATTCAAATCAGTCGAAATTATCAAAAATTATGAATCATACTCATACTCATACTCATAATAATGATTTTATGAATTATTTGACAGAACACGATCGATTATTGATTGATTCGATGGAACGTTCTCTTAAAACTCAATGGTTACCGTTACGATTTGAATTAGTGATGAGTGAATTGTTAATGAATCAGCATGATCATTCTAATTTACCAGTTGTATCACGTAAGTGACCTACCTACCTATTTGCATTACGGGGTTGTGAAGATTGTTAAGCTACACATTTTTTTGAAACCATGAATCGATCAATGTTAGACCACCATTAGAATAAACCTGGAAGCACTGCACGATGGCCGTTTCGTCCTAGTATGGGACTCCTCAGCAGTGCGCGTCCACGACTCCTCCAGCCCGCAGGATTCGGACCCAGGACCTTCGGTATTGTGCGCGAACACCTTAACCATCGGACCACTGAGCCGGTATCTAACGGTGTTAATGTCTAACTTGATCAATTCACGGAGTTGCGCAGCCTCATACACAGTCTTCGGTAGTTACTGTCTACACCCGAACAGGTTGAACTTCACTGGTCACGTATTCCTACTAGAACTCGGAGAAGATTCCTCACGAAGCTAGTCACTAGTGAGCACTTTAGTTCATGAAAAATAATAGTGTGATGTAACTTTAAAGTGACTGACACTCAGCTTTGTATACAATCTAATATGTCCTGGTTAACGTATGGGCACCGTATGCGAATCACCTTGATAAAGTCACTAAAACAAAAGTTTATGGAGCGGCAGGGCCTAAAATGCACGTTTTGTCCTATTTAGGACTCTTCCGCTAGATATATTTGCACCCCAGATTGCATGATCACTCCGAGACTCGAACCTGGTGGCATCGTTTTCTTTCAAACCTCGTCGCATTTGTGTAGTCTGGCTAAGGATTTCTGGACTAGGAGGCACGATAAAAAAGATCAAATCAAGGCTACTAGTGCTTAAAAACATGTAATTCTGTTAGGATATTCATCCAATATCCTAAGAGAATTATTGGTCAATTCCTATCGGTTAATTCCTACTCGTCAATTTTATGTTCGCCCTAGATATCAATGTCACATGCTCCAATGTTGTTGCCTATTGGTCGTCTTAACTGTCAGTGTCACAGACTTCAATGCTGCTTCTCATTCCAGCAAAATGTATAAATACGCATGATCTGTAACTTTTTATGACCACGACCAGGACCCGGTCGCGGATCCGTAGTCCAGGATCCTGATTCTCTTCTGGATTGGGACCTCGTACTCTCTGGATGCTTATAGAATACAGGTTCTACTTCATATCCTGTCTTCTTATTTTTACTCAATATGGTGGTTGGGATAATCGGATTTGAGTAGCATGTCGTGTCACGGGATCCTTGATCCTCGCTCTTGTTTTCCGACTACGGTAAACTCGTAATAATAATTCAAGTATATCAAGTTGACGTGTTTACGTGCAGGCGTAACCATTTCTGATTGGTATTTTCTCTTTGTCACGTGATATTAGTTAAGAGTTAAGGCTACAATGTATTAATATTAATATTATTATTATTGTTATTATTGATTTCAGGAGTGATTTCTTCCAATCTCGAAACATTATTCACCCCAACTATCAATTTATCAGAGAATAATAAAAATTCTGCCTATCATTTCTACATACCATCAACACATCCATCATTGAAATCAAATGAATTCATACGTGAAATTGAAAATTTTTATGATTTCTATTCATCGCCAACAGGAATTTCATCATTGCATCATCATCATGATGATTCTGTAATTAATAATAATAATTCAGGTTTGTTTTTTTTCTGCCTGCCTCCATTTTATTCTCTACTTGCTTACTTACTTACGCTTGTTACTCTTAGTGAAGCGTAGGCTGCTGATTTGTTTCTGGTTGTCAGAAGGCGGGTATTGGCCTCATGAATTCCGAAGGAATTCGGCTTTGATCATCATGAGACGTCATAACTTTTCGAAATGAACACCTAATCCTAATAGTTTTAATTTATTTTTTTTCTGGTTAGCGTTTTTTTAAGCAAGTTAATTTCTACGGGATGGGGTCGCTAACCTCACACCTAACGCTCCTCCTTCATCCGTACTTGAGACCGGCAGCAGCCGCAGAGATACCGGAGGCGGAGGTTTGCTTTATTTGTTAGAAACAATTAATAGGTCGGTTCATAATATTTTTATTCTTGGGACACTTATTGGAAAGTTGTGACTGTTAGAGAGAGTTCAGACATATCAGTAAAGAATCAGCTGTTACCGAGTGTTATTGGACTACCTGTATCGCCGCCTTTTGTTGACGCGAGACCTGACTCCAGTTTGTAGAAACAATTAAATATTCTGTAAAATAAGTCTTCCGTCAAATTTCCGTATATGTATCATTCTTAGACGAAATTCGTTTTATGCGACGGAGGTAATTAAAAGTGTAATACAGTTTCGCTATTATGAGTATGAGTGTGGATGTCACTTCCCGGCAGCATCGCTGCAGATGCTGGTTGTCCAAGGGAAACACCTTATTGTTGTCATCCCCCCGCCTAAAGTCAGCAGTACGACTTCATCTTCAGATCTTGAATTGCTGCTTTTAGGTCTCACCATTCTCCAATCGACTTGCCTGGCATGGTAGCCAATATAACCCGATTGGGTCATCATGACAGGCAAGCATGACCATCACGTCAAGGTAGGAGCTATGGTCGGGCTGATATAGTTTATTTTGGATGAATTTATTTCATGATATATTCCTGTAAACAAACAGACAATCAATAGAATGCAAAGTGAAGTGCATTAGGAGAACCGACCAATCGAATTTGATTAGGCTTGACTAAATTATTTCTAGTCACACGAAAATAACCTATACCCCATGTGATGAGCAAAGTGAACAAAACACATACATACACACAACTTCAAATTTGATTGACAAGATCATGAAATGTATGAATAATGACTGAAGTGCTCACTTTTTTAACGAGCCTCATTCTATTACGAATAAGCTGTCCAGCACTTACGCATAGGCTACTGACCAGCATTCTCCAACCTTCTCTGTCCTAGGCGTTCCTTTCTAGTTTTGTCCACTCTTGTTCAGTTGTTGTAACGCTCGCTTAAATAATTCCCAGCTAATTCCTATTGCTCAGTATTCTCTGACCACACAATACACTGGACAATTGTTCCAAAGAAATCAAAAACACGGTGGAAAAGGAAAAGGATTATATTCCAAATAGCAAGGTTAAATGAAAATAGGAAGACGAAGGCAAAATAGATACAACGTTAGTTTCTTTATAGCATTTACATGAGAAGCTTGTGGATAGTAAGTAATTCACATGATCGACTGGATTAGATTTAGCCAATCAGAGTGCAGCTAACAATACGAGAATCGATCAGGCGCTGATTGGATAGGAAGTTAGCCAATCAGCGCGCAGCTAACGTAGTCATGCTTTAATTTCATCAATGTCCCACTAACACCAATACTCTCTAATTCTAAATTTTCCCATCCGCTGCTAAGTTGGTGAATACAACTATCAAATCCGGTTGTTGTTTTTTCTAATTGTTGTATTTACAGATGATCCCAATACATCATCACGTACTGGAAGTCTACAAAGAACTAGTTTACGATTAAATAAAAATGTCAATAATCGAGATTCTATTCTATCAAATGGTAGTATAAACAGTGCAATAATTAGTTCATTGATTATA